GATATTGATGTTCAATTTTCAAATAAATATCGGAATCTCTAATGTTAACAATATGAGATGATATAAATTACTATGGAAGCATTAAAAATAGCTTCCATTTGAACCTTTCTGAAACAATAGTGATATGACCGAAATAGAGTAGTTTCTTTCAATTTATTATTCAATTTAAAATTAATCAGATGAATGATTTCCTACTTTTCTGCTAAAAATTAGCCAATTGTTTATATGAACTTTTTTGTAGCTCTTGAAATCTGATATCAATCTAAATTTCCCTATACTTACAGGACACCCTGTGATTGGCTAGAGAGATTTAAAAGTACATCTGTATATTTAACAGATAGATGTTTATAGATTGTACTAATATTAGCTATTAAACTGTTACTTTTTCATTGTCAAGTTATAAATTCTCAGATTTCCAACGATATATTCTACGTATACCTTCTGATTATTATTTCCGAATATTTATTTTCGACCCAAAGGTTAGATTATTTTTCCATGCACAGTCAACAGCCGAGGTCTTTAATGCCCTCCTTCAAATTATATTTTCCTTACTAATTTTGATTTATATTATATTTTATTGAACATATTTTTTTTGTTTTCAAGGAGATCGGGTATTGCTACTATATTGCTGCTGTTTTATCCTAATATTTGTTTGAGGTTTCGTTGTATTCCTTTTAGACTTAAATACACTTTTTTTTTTACCCCTCTATTTAATTATTAGGTTTTTTCAAAATAAGTTTACCTTTTTTTCTTAACTACTGACAATGAATGATACCTAATTATTTAAAATAAACCACATTAAAGTTACTTTAGAGGAAGAAATTTTAAACATTGGGCATTCAACCCTGTTAAGCAACATCAATGGGAATAAGATTTAAATTTTATTAAAAATCATATAATTATACATAGATTGACCGAGTTTAAGCAAAATCTTTAGAGTCCTTTTTGAGAAAATTGTAAAAATGTTTAAAATCGAATATATGGAACCGGTTAGCCAATTTTAAGGAAAAAGTTGTTGTAACATCCCTGACATATACATAATTTAAATATGTATTTTCAGTTTCATACGACTCACCCACACACAGACCATTTTGTGGGACTTGGTTATTTGGACTCAGGGGACCTAAAAACCTGAATTTCAATTGAAAACTTGTATTCCAAAATTTTCATGAACGCAATGATATCCCTTACTATATATTATATACATAAGTAAGTGAAAGTAAAAATCATTAAGTTATTTAGTGATGAAATTCAATGTCACGCGCCTTTTTGTTATGCAAATAGCTTTTGATAAGATACCCCGTTAGTGATTAGTGGGCTTGTGTCAAGGTTTTCTTTTACTTTCTACGCTGAGTACTTTCCTTTCAGAAGAAAAACTAGAAGCTTATGTAGTAAAAGGAAATTAAAAAATGGAAAGGCGAAAAAAGGTTTTCATTAACCAACTGAAACACTATAAAAATAGAAGAATATCCAACATTTTCCCTTCTTTTATATTTTCAGTATGAATTATCGTTCGTTTCTTTTTAAATACTACTAAACAAAAAATATTTGGAGAAAAATAAATAACTGAGCATAAAAAATCGAAAATATAAAATTATTTTATTTACATATGTATACATCATAATAACAGTTACATGCTTATGGCAACATTACTTTACATATGATATAATAAAGTGGTGTGATTGCTATTTTTTATTCAAAAATATATTCTGTTCAGTAGGAAAAAAACAACAAAACAAAAAAAAAACAACATAAGTTATAAGAACATAAATACTAAGAGTTGTAATTATCATTCCAGATCATTTGAAACGTTAGTCCTTAAACGAGAGCGACAATTCGATGATATTTAACAAAAGAAAACCAAAACAAATTGTACAACCTTTGAATAAACGTTACAAGGAAACGCAAATATAATGGTCTTAGAAAACCTGGAAGTTTAATAAGTGTATTTTCTTTTCATTTCTTTTTTTTTTTTTATTCTTTCTTTTATCCTTCCCAGTATATTGCTATTCAAAATTACATGCATTGTGGTTTTATTCGAATTGTGATAAACACCACATATGTCTATCTCTATCTTTTTTAACATACATTTTTCATAGAATACACCTGAACTAAGAGACAATTGATTCGTTTATTTCATCATTAACAAATTTCAGAGAACGAGAAAAGCTATATTTTATATATTACAATTGTATTATCAAAACCAATATTCTTTTATAAATGAATTAAAAAAACCTGTATTTTACAAATATAAATCACTAATTATTTCGATAGTAATTAAAAAACATCAGAAATGAAACAGAGTCACTTTTGAAAAGAATTCAACTTTAAGACCCGCTTTTGAACAAAAGAAAAATCTGTTTGAGGTCTGTCTTGGAGAGATAAAATGGAGTATGGTTTGAAGAAAAAAAAAGTTATGAAAATTTTATTATTATTATTGTATTATCAGATTACGTTACGAACCACTTGTTGAGTCAAAGCCTACCCTATAACGTGTATGTGTGTGTGTGTGTGTGTGTGTGTGCACGCTTGCGCGAGCGCGTGCGTGTGTGGGTGGGTGCGTGCGTGCGCGGGTACGTGGGTGCGTGCAGGTAAATAAACATTTTAATACTATATAAATCCCTGTAGAAGGTAAGTAAATCAATATCGAAGCATCTATCGTGTTTACTTCGTGCCTTATTCCTTTTTTTTATCCAAGCATTTTAACTTATATATATGCTTGCATTAGTCCTAATCACAGGCTATTAATGAAAGATATGCTATCTCTGTTCCTTATTTATGGGGGTTGTGTATTTTAATCGAGTGATGGCTATGGCTTATTATTCCAATAATAGCCCACTAACCGGGTCGCAAATTGCCGTTATCGGCAGGATATTGTTGGTGTGGATAACGAACAAATTAAGGATAACTAGCAGTAATTAGGTGGTATCCACTGAAACATAGATGAAATGATTGCAGTTTATTCGAATTGTATAAACACTTAATACACCAATTTACCGAGCGCAAGTTGTGATATTTGATATTGTGTAGCCGTTTGAATGTTCTGTTTGACTAATCCTAATAGTAAAAATTAATTATGCTTTACCTCAGAGCGTTTTTATTTTCTTGATTTAAACGGATAGGCATTAATAATCAATATATTATATTTTAAAAATCATAAAAAAGTAGTAATTTTAAGAATTCGAAAAACATGCATTACCCACCTTAAATCTGGCCTTTATTTTCCATTTTACTACGTGTTTACTAGTTATTTCAGACTCCAAACAGTTTCATATTACTTTTTTAATGTTGATGGTAGAGAAGATTAATATTCATGTGGGAGATTTCCTTTCCCAGGATCGAAAATATTCCCTCACTTTTTACTTTTTAGACATTAAGGAACAAATGTTATTTCGTGTCTATCTTTCTTACTGCAGTCAAATAAATGTGACGAGCAATTACTGACTACCTTTGATTCGACTTTCATCACATTTTCGGAGTTTGTTCGGATTATTTAAGAGATCCAATATTGATTGTATTACTTCTTTCACTAAGCTGTACCTTTGCCGTGCCAAGACTGTACTATGGCTAAGACTATAAAAATTGTCTCCTGTAGATTTTATTTCCTAATTTTAAATCATAGATCTAGAAAAATAAATAATCAGGTAACCTGCAGAAAAGGTGAGGAATCTAATCTGAGACTAATTGGCAGATGTTTTTATTTTATATCGTATAAAATACTGAACATTTGTACACTTAATATTTTAATAATTTTAATATTCATATAAAGACACTGAACGAGCTCCTCTCTATTTTCGGCACAGGAATTTATATTTGCAGATGACATAGTGGCATCTAACAGCAGACTCTCAGTAAAAGCTACAGAAAGCAGAGGAATGGGGAGAGAAATTATTCCAAAAATGGATCCAAATAAATGACACAAAAAATAAAATATGAATATTTTTCCGAATGGAGAAGTATCAAATATCAGTTGCAAAAGAGTGATAATGCGATGCGTAGATACCTACTAATATCTGGGTACACTTGATAGCAAAGATATTTGAATTAAACCAGAGATTTCAAACATAGTGAGGAAAGCTAGCGGAATCTATCAAATCTATGATACATTAATCGGCAAGAACGAAATCGATAGAGATGCCAAACTGGTAATCCATAAAACAAGATTTCTGCCGTTATTACTATATGTAGCAGATCATTGGACAATTTTGGAAAAGCATATTTCAGGAATAATCGCAGAAATGATGTTCCTCAGAAAAGTTATAGGAAAAGCAAAGAGAAATTGTATACGTAATGAAGTTATTAGGAAAGAATTTTTTTTTTAAACTTATTTATTGAAAAATATTACAATCTGTCTCTAGGACATTTATAATAGAGTTCACAGATCACATTCACACTCTATGTACAATAAATAAAATAAATTATACAGAAAAATAATATATATATACAATAAATAAGAATAAAATAACCTAAAAATAAATAAATAAAAAGAACACAATAAATAAAAAGAACACTGGGAAAGAATTAGATATATTCCACGTGAAAGCAAAAATAGAGGAACGTCAAATCAGGTGGATGGGACATGTATAAAGAATGCCAGATTCTTAAAAGATAAAATGGTACAAGCAGGCATAATCCGAAGGAAAAAGACTTGTGGCCAAAAACAGGAATGAGAGGAGTAGGTGGAGTGAGGTGGAGTGAGGTTCGAAGTCGACGCTGAAACACACAAGAGCAGAGAATGAAGAAGAAGAATAACTCAGTAATATTCTATTCTGTATGATCGATATACAATAAGAGTTACTATCACTAATGGCTGTAATTGTCAAACAATATAACGGCTATAAATAACAATATCATATTTGGACTCCTAGAAATGTTTAATTAATAACGTAATGCATTATTTTCCGTACTAATAATGATACTTACTAATAAATAATGATTTAAAACAAATAATATACTCTGAATGACCTGGTGGTGACCCTAGAACACCTCAATGTCTTTACCAGTTCTGAATGACTCACCTGTGCAGCGGGCATGGTGCAGGATTGCCCCGCAGAGGAGCCGACCAGAGCTACCAAAGCACAGAGACAAAGCAGCCACATCAAGCACAATACAAGCAAAGGCTACTCGCTTATAAGCACTTGCTATCTACTTCGCCATAAATTCTTAACGGTTTCGCAAGTCGTAAAGCTGCTCCTTTACAGGTAAAGTTCCCTTAGTTCTCAGCGAGGTATCTTTATTTCATTTGGCTCCTATCTGCAAACTTTTGTTATGAGAGCTAGCAAGCTCTGACGGCATTTTCTAGGGAATCTTCAGATTAAAATTTAAAGGAGTAACATATTCCTAACTAGACAACTCCACCGTTTTAATATTAAAAAACATTGAACAAAAAGACATAATGGCAAATAAGGGGAGGGCTCTGTGAAAACATAGCTTTGTCTACTGTATTGTTTTTATTCATTCGAAGGTTCTATTTTATGAATACCGAAGCGTTGTATAAATACGAAAGGTTAATTTTTTTTTTTTAACTTTTGTTTTACCACTGATGTTTTTGCATACGGTATGCGATTGGGTGACATAGTGATGATCACTTTTCTGTTCTGTCCTGCTGATGCCTGAATTGGAGAAACGTTGATAGGGTTTTATTTATTTCCTTTCCATGCATTTTAGAGATATAAGGCTTTGTGGTTTGAATTTTTCCAATTATAACTTAACATTTATGAATAATATATCTGAGTAAAATTATGTTATTAGGTCATACTCCGATTGTTAATCTCTTGGGTTATAGTGAAAGTAGTAACTTAGCTTCTTCAAATTAATAAAGCACGATTAAAATTAAATTTATAAATTTGTGAATTTTAGGATATACTTGATTAAATGAAAAATATGTAGCCCTTAAAAAACAATTACAGTTAAAATAGTATATCGGTGACTGTTACTACTGTCTCATAATAATTTATCATTCACTACATCACTAAAGGTCCTTTATTAATTGTATTATATTTTATTTTAGCAGGTTTTATGTGTAATTAAGAAATAAATTGTAATTGTAAATATTCATATTAATTATTCAACAACATATACCACATGGGTTTTTAATCGCATAGCTAATATTTTTTTACTTTCATTTGCGTTTATATGTAATATATAGTAAGGGTAAGTATAGCGATCGTGACAATATTCGATTCTGAGTTTTCAACGGAAATTCACGTCTTGGGGTACCCTAAGTTCAAATAACCAATAACAAAAAGTCGTAAGAAAATGATATTACGTATTTAAGATAGGTATATGCCTTAGATGTGACAACTTTTTCCTTAAAATCGGCTAACCGGAAGTGCAACTTTATATCAAAGCTGAAACAAATTTTTCAATTTTCTCAAAAACGGCTCTAACGATTTATTTATCTATCGTCCATTTATTCCGAAAAATTATCATGCAAACTTTTAGAAAATTAAATTAGATTGTTGCGCGCACCAGATTTTTATTATATTGCTTAATATAACCGATAACATACGGATTTCATAAATAATTAATAAGTAGTTAATATGGGCATTATCTGCTTTGGTTATTAAATGAGAATTCAATGAGTTAATTAATTGTCCGGGACAAGATTTATAACAAAACAAATTATATAACATTTTTTTACAATAATTACAGAGTATATTAAGATAATTATTAATATTTTTAATGAAATGGAATATAAAACTGAACTGTGAGTAGATTAACAAAATCAATCATTTCCGTGCTAGAAGCCAATGGGTCTCATGTATTTCCAGTTTTCGTGGCGATGTTTATCTCATCTGATTGTTGCTATTAACGAACGCATAGCAACTTTCAAACTTTTACATCGGTATACAATATCAGTCTTCGGTAACATATAATTTCACTTTAAATTAAAATAATTACTTTTGGAAAGTTGATAGGCGTTGTTAATAGCAACTATCGGATCTGATAAGACTTTGTACTTAATATATGTATGAGTATAAGATAAGAGGGGGTAGAAAGACCTATTCACTCTTATCCCATGTTCCAGATTTTCAAAACCGAAAATTTTCTCCAGGACTTCAAATACCATTCACTTCACTACTTCAGAACTTCATTCCCTTTTCTAAGGTAAACAACAAGTACCATCGATTCAGAGTATTAATAAAAATTTAGTTTTGAACTCAATCGTCATTAAAAATTAAAGGATTAAATACCAATTTTGAAATAAAATTCATTATAATTAATAGTTGAAATTATCAGTATTAATAAATTCGTAAATATTTGATTGGTATAGAATATTGCACAGGATTTTGGGTTATATAGTGGTAATATGTAAAGTGTATAGTTCTATGCTGTCCATATCGTTAGGTTTTCAAATATTTTATGTTTTTAAAATAAAATATATTATTTTACAATCATTGGTTTCTTTTCATATTCTTCTTATATCCATTCAATACAATGAAAATATTTATAAGTTTATAGACTATTTTTTTAATAATAATTAATAAACACTAAAATACCAAACAACTAGTATGCAATTTAGCTATTGAGTTATTATAACTTGATTCTAATTGTTACACATTTTAGTGTTTAGAATTATTTTATTTATGTGTCCTTAATCGAGACAGAATGTGCTTTTTAAACGGAGGTAAATCTTAAAGCTTACATATAACAAATCATTAAGACCATTTAAATTACAAAATATCTATTGATTATATTGACGGTAGACAATTAAAACCTAATTAGTAAAACTGCTTTAGAAACCACATAACTTCAGTGTCTGATCTATATCTGCCTTTCTGTTCATAGAATGAATAACTCTAATTTCAACATTTTTGAGAATTGTCATTGTAGCGTTATTTTAGTTTAAAAAGTTATATCTATACAGACAGTGAGTAAATAGATGCTAGAGTGGGTGATTGCAGTGTTGAAATATAGAACTGCGAATATTTTAAAAGTGTTACTGAAGTAATGCTATTTTTTCTAGCAAATTACTAATGATGAAAAAAAAAATGTTTAGGCCAATAATAGGAACCACTTTTTATTTATTTTTCTTTGTTCCTAGGAAAGTAATGTTACTTTAGATGTATAATTGTTTGGAAATAATAAACTATTGTGAAATAATTTGCAGCTTTTTTTTTATTAGGTTGTTCGTAAATCATTCAATAAAAATTATTTAGCTTTATTCAGGTCACCTAGACAGTGCTCATATTTTTAGGAGGATAATGTTTATATATCTTCGGTGAGAAATACGATGGCAGTAGCCCTGAAAGGCTCGTAAAGTAGCGGTTTATCAGGAAGGCTGTGAATTACGACCCAACAAAAAGGTGGGTTTTCCCCAACCTCGCCTCTTCACCAGTTCGGGACAGCTCACCTCAGCACACCTCAGACGCTATGCGACACCTCATCCTCTTACTGACGCTGGCTACGATCGCCTCCGCACAGACCAGCGGTTCGGGATGCATCGGACCGGCCCTCGATGTGGGTATTCCAGTTGGCCTCACGGTGGTACATTAGTATCCATTCCTAATCCATTGATTGATTTGTAATTTGCCTCGAAGAATAAATCCATTTTAATCAGAAGTATTAATTAGTTATTAATTAAATATCAAACAGTATATCCGGGGCTCTGGTATAATCCGTTGATTGAATATTCGTTGTTTGAGAATTTGCTCGAATCCTCTGCAATTCTCTCATCAAACAAAATTCCAATTAACAAGAGGATTATATTTCTGCATTTCATCGATTCAGCGTTCGTCTGCGAAACGTCAATAGTTAGAAACTCTCCGAAATCCCTCTCAACGTCCGTGTTTTATTGTACAGAAAATAATTTGATATACGTATAGTAAATTTGTCATAATTTGTTTTGCTGACGATGGTTTATATATGGTGTTCTAAGCAGTTAAATCTAAGAATATATTCTAAATCAGCATAGGAATATTAGCAATCAAAGAATAATTAAATATCTATTCAATATGTTAATTTAAACTAATATAGATTCGTAATTCAGTAAAATAATTATCACTAGGTATACGATAGACTTGAAAAAAAAAACCTTACATAGGTCCCAAAAGATAGTACAAGTTTCTTCTTTTCATTTATCAATTTTTTATTTATTATTATTTTTTTATTTCGTTACAAAAACATAACGTTTATGGTTTGATTGCAGTAAAATAGAGAAATGGGGAAGGAGCAACACCCAACATGGGAAAAATATATAATAAAGTGATAATAAATATAAAAGACTAGGATATACGCGGATTTCCCTGGGCCAGGGAAGAGGGTAGAGGATCAATACTAGAGTAATTAAGATAAAATCCCAGAGAGTAATGAATAAAAGCCTCTCCCGTCACCTACTGCCGCGGGACACGAAGTTGTAATTATTTTATAACTTGTAAAGCGAAGTTTAGCATTTGGTTGGTTGTTGGGCAACGCGTGTGTTGCACGCGATAGCCCGCTCCATCACTCATCCCCAAAAAATAAAAGAAATAAAGACTGATTCCTCCATCTTTAAGTTAATCTCCCTTCTTTTTATGAATAAATGCCTCCTTCTCTTCTGCCTATGTTCTTGGTCTGTACTAAGGATTGTATACTAGATTACTATACCTGTACTAAGGATTGTTCTATAAAAACAGAATTTAATGGTTAGTGAACTCCAAAGCTCAACGCTGTTTATCTAAGCAGGCTGTCTTGCAAATATTATGTTTGGAATAATTATTTTTGGTGAGAAATGTAGATTAGTTCATATTTAGTTTTGAATAACACATCTTTTCTACGGTCTTTAGAGACAGGTTATAAAACATATTGTAGAAAAGAGCGTAGTCCCAAATTCACCTAGATAATTTGTTTGGATTTATATTAGTTCTGTAGTTATGTTTTATTAGTTATGAGATTTGTGTCAGTAGTGTTTGGATGCGAAAAATCATTATTCATCAGTAAGTAATTGATACATTTTTGTCACCAGTCTATATAAACTGTTAAACATTATTTTCAATGTATCAAAACTGGTATCGTTTAGTATGAAGTTGCTTATATTATACATTACTGTTGGCATTACTGGCCTTGTAGATCGTTTGCTGCCTTAACAAGCCTTCTCCATCGCTACCTGTCTTGTCCT